AGTGGAAGCAGGGTGAAACTCCGCATCCTCATACCAGGTGTGTTTTTCTCGTCGTAGACGCCGAGCCGTATGGGGTAAGTCGGTGGGGGAGCCCCATATTCGCGAGCTGCTTCGTCGAGCAGCTTCTAGGTGAGCGACAAGCTGAACGTCCAAGGTGTATTGCATGGATCGTAACGATCCCGTTTCATATTTGTCCAAAAGCATTGTGTCTCCATCTTGACTCAACAGCCGTCGAATGCACAGCTCTGCAAGCGTAGGCAGAGCATGACGCCGCAAAGGACCCAATGCTCTAGCGACTGGAGCGGTATGGTCCTCGATAGTTGATCCTGGATAAATCTGCATCTCGGTCCGAGCACGCTGCAACACCCTTGGAGCAGGCGGCGGATGCATATTGGTTTGTTGACTATTGCGTTGACGCAACGAAAGAATGGCATCCCTTGGGATACTTAGGAAAGGGTTAGGGATATATGTGAAGGTGTCAAGATGCAGACGTTGGATCTCGGCGGGAAGACATGATAACTGATTGCCTCCGACATTCAATTCACGCAAATTATGCAGTTCGCCTATCGCGCTAGGCAGGGATTTCAATGCATTTTTTCGCAAAGATAGCACACTGAGATTTTGTAGTTGAAAAATGGCACTAGGAAGCTTTGTTAGCTGATTGTCCCAGAGGTAGCATTGAAGCTGATTACGCCTTGCGTCCTGCGTAGATTCCGAACGCCGGCCAGACTCTATACGCGGAGGAGCAATGGCAACATAGCTATGCAGATCGCCGATCATCGACGGAATTATTTTGAGTTGGCATCCTCCTAATACCAATGCAGGGGTTTCGCGACCCTCGTCAAAGATCCGATTGATCAAAGCTGGCCAGTGAACCTCATTACTTGTGTGAATTCTCGAAGCACGAGTCTGGCTAGATTGGGAACTGGTAAAAGACTGCACCTGTTCCCAATGTGGCAGATCTGTTTGAGGTTTGCTACGGCGCGTGAGTTTCTTGGGCGATGTGCCGATCATGCGCATTCGTTGCGCAGGCTGCTCAGCAGTGCGCGACGTTCCTACCCCACTCAAAGGGTCCGTTCCAGCTGATTCCGTACGAGAGAAGAGTCGAGTCTGCGGTAGGTATGAAATACTCTCGATAGAGCTGCTTAAAGTATCATCAGAGCTCGGTGGAATATCTTCCTCACCCTCTGACTCGAAGAACTGCGCCAAGACCTGCTGGTCGTCTGCGTCACGGGCGTCCGAGCCAGGAACAAGGGTCAGCCCTGCTATGTTTGCACTTTTCGTATGCTGAACAGGCTCCGTTACAGCTCGTCCGAGGTTATAGCGTGGCATTCTCGCGAGATTCTTGGCAGACCCCGCAAACGGATCGACACTCGATTGCGAGGCCCTCTTTTCGAAAGAAGGACTGGATGGCGGCGATGATGGATCGTCCCAGTCACTCTCAGTATACTGTACAGGCGGTGATGAGGAAAGCGGCACAGGTTCCGCCGGCACACGAAACGAGCCCGACATGACCCTCCTGTATAACTCAACGCTCGAGCTGATCCGGAAATAATCAAGGAATTCTACAAGACAACTAACTACTCCACATGGCCATGATGATCGCCGATAAGCAGTTGTAGCAGACGCGGGGTGATCGAACCAAGGACGACTAAGGAAAGAGAAAGCCAGGCATTTAATTGTCCAGATAAAGGCTGCATTGATCTGGGAATTCGAACACTTGGGAGCCTCGCCATAGAGCTCATGCAACGTGCATGAATCGGGTGGTCTGAGTCATGAGGGTGGTGAGAGTGCTCGGTGAGGGGACATTCTGAAGGATTCGCAGTTAGCTCCAATACAGCATGCATCGCAACATAAAGGAAGGTACCGCCAGAGAAGCTAAGTATCGCTCCAACATCGCGGACGTTAATAGTCGCTTCCGATCCGCCTGATGCATGGAAGAAGAGCTGGATCACCGAATATGTCGCGAGTGCACCGACAGGAGTCGCTAAGCTGAATACAAATAGTGCCCAGCGGATTTCTTTTGAATCTAACTGCCGCGACATCAGTAAGGTACAAGTGCCAATCGAGGCAGGTGCTTTATGGACCATGATTGCCAGTACTACCACCACCTGCAATGATGCATCTTGGTTACCAATGGATGCACCTAGCGCAATACCATCGGCAAGTGCATGGATAATTAGGCCTAGGAGACCACTCAAAGCGGCCAAAAATTTTTCGGATGACGGTAGCCATCCGTTCGATTCACGCTCGTCAGCAGGATAGTACGTCGCGGTGTCATTTTCAGATTCCTGTTGCTGATCATTTGAAGCGAGAGTGGTCGCATGATGGTGGGTATGCATGCGTGCTAGCATTTGTCGATCGACACTGAAGGTAAGCTGAACCTGATCACCTACATGAACATAAGTAGAAACCCGGAAAGTAGACAGACGGCAATTAAATCTTTCGATGTCAGCTTAGAGCTATCTTGGTGGATCGGCTGGCCGTCACGGCATATATGACTCCCTTTATACACACTTGCGATCCCCTCTGGGATTACCACCGTCAGCGCAGCACCTAATAACAAGCCAGAGCCCCACAGTTCTAGCATACGCAGACCGTTACGAGACAGATGGAAGAATAGCGGTAGCAGCCCAATCGCATACGTGCCAATGGCCATCACTACACATATGCCCACCAAGCCCATCATGCTGGGCATGGCTAGCGTACGCTCCTTCCAAAGATTTCGGCCGACGTGTCGTGCTGGACATTTGAGCACAGACCGTCTTTAAGAAGATAATTAATTGATAAGGCGACAAGCAGGTAGGAAAGAGGGAAAGCACTAATTAAAGGAGCTAATTATTTATAACTTCGCTGAAGGGCCACTGAGATACCGATAGGAAGTCTTAATCCGTTCCTCGGCTTCCTTCTCGATTCTCGCGACAAGCTCTTTGCAGGTAGGCTGTGGTGAGTCGCTAAGACGTACGATGTCGTGAATTAAGCCCAAAGTTTGACCCGCAGTCCAAACACCTGCTTCTGGATCACCACGCGTGTATACTTCCCTTCCGCGCTGCCCTGAGACCCAAGGCTGAATTTCCTTGAAATCCGCCTTACGGCTCTCCAACTGCAGAACTTCTTTCGTGACACTGTTTTTGAAAACACGCGTAGTGTTGCGCAAACTACGCAGGATATGAGCGGTATCACGTTCTCCGGCCTCAAGGATCTTTTGCTTGATCTTATCGTCAATCTCACTTTCCTTTGTAGCCATGAACCGTGTTCCCATATTGGCGCCCACTGCGCCTAAAGCTAGTACAGCTGCAAGACCACGTCCATTCGCGACGCCGCCAGATGCGATGAATGGTGCATTGACTTGTTCTGCGGCCAAGGCAAGGAGGATCAGTCCTCCTATATCATCTTCGCCAGGATGTCCAGCACATTCCCCTGTATTAGTTTGAAATTGTTGGTTACGTACAGCCGTCAATACTTAGCATATCTGCCCCGAGCCTTAGAGCAGTAAGTCCGTGGCGTATAGAGGTGCATTTGTGAATCACGAATGCTCCAGCCTCCTTCAGAATCTTGATGACAGGTCCAGGATTATTGCCTGCTGTCTCAAATATCCGAACACCTGCTTCGACCCCTGCTCGCGCATAGCCTTCGTAGTCCGGAGGCACAACTGCAGGAAGTAGCGTAATGTTCACGCCAAAGGCACCGAATGCAGAGCGTTCTTTTGCGATAGTTGGGTCAATCGCAGAGCGAGTCTTCTCAATAGCTCGCTTCAATTCTTCCGGCGACGGCTGCGTCAGTGCGGTGATCATGCCCAATGCACCAGCATTGCACGCAGCAGCAGCAAGAGCAGGAGTACCTACCCATTGCATGCCACCCATCACCAAAGGTACGCGGATCCCTAACTTGTCGGTCAAGTATGTGTTAATCACCATCTTCGTGGAGTTCTTGGAGTCCAAGCAAGACGTTCCAGATTACGTCACGTGAGACCTAGGGCTCACGTCGGCAGGCGCGAGTGAATCCTGAGAGCGCATCACGATGAATCTTTTCCGGTTGCTGGGCGACTTGTCGCACATTGCATCGATTTTGATCTTAATTCATAAGATTCATACATCGCGATCATGCAGGGGTGAGTAATGCGCGATGTCGCTAATGCCAGGTATCTCCTTCAAGACACAGGCATTGTATGCAACCGTATTTGTCACGCGGTATTTTGCCCTGTTTTCACCACCGGTGCTGTACCTGATCGTGATGAAGCTATTTTTCTTGGCGAGTTCTTTCTATGTGATCTACCTTATGAAGTTCAAGTTCCGGTATGTTAGGGAAACACTTACAAAGTTCACGTGTGGAAGTCGACATCGATTCTGTTCGCATTGAGTACCTAGTGGGCCCAAGCATTCTGCTCGCGCTGCTATTCAACTACAAGTTTACGTTTGTCGAGATTCTTTGGTCGTTCAGCATCTTTTTAGAGGCGATCGCGATCCTGCCGCAAATGTTCCTCTTGCAAAGACTCGGAGAAGCAGAAACCATCACGACGCACTATATTTTCGCATTGGGTGTCTACCGTGCGTTCTACCTATTCAATTGGGTGTATCGGTATGTACTATGCACTGATTTTCCAGTTTGATCTTCGAACCCAAACATCACTTTGACTTTATTGCATTCCTTGCAGGACTTGTACAGACAGGACTCTATGCGGATTTCTTTTACAGTACGTTAACATACCCCCTACTTACCCAGTCTATTATGAAAAGGTCCTGCATGGAAAAAAGTTCGAGCTGCCAGCTTGAGTCGTTGTTTCACGCAAACTCGTCTGTCGTGACCTACGCTGCTGTGCTTTTGTAGGCCGCATGATTCGTATATATCCTTCTGCAGCCGCCATAAAACTGCCCCTTCTTGCAGATTTCTCGAGTACTGTATTAAAAGCTGTTTGTGTTGACTTTGCCAGGATACTATACTGCTAGAATTTCACCAACGTCAGTATGCTGTGATGGTGCTTGCTTGGTGCACAAAAAAAGTTCCCAATCCGGGAGTCGAACCCGGGTCTTGTCGGGGCGCTCCATTGTTGAATGACAACCGATGAGAGCGACATATACTAACCGTTGTACTAACTAGGACGGATTTGCAAAGCTTGACATTTTTGCGAATCTAAGAACATGGGGAATTTTGGGTGGGTGAGACTATGCGGCCGACGACGGTTTAGGTGTATCTGACGATGGCTGATTGCTGGTATGATGGCTGGAGTCTGTCGAGCTTTGCGAGACATTCGCAGAAGCATCTGACTTGGACGGGGTGCCATTTCGGTTGAGGGGTAATTCGCTTAGATACCTGGGTGGGTTGCCACAACGATCTTTCCCGAAACTTATTTTGATGGATTGGTAGTCTTTGTGATACCTCAGTCCTTCAATGCACTTAATTGCGGATTGAATATTTAAGAAATTGGCAAAGGCCTAGGTAGGTCAGTAATTCAGTACGTACACAATTCCGTTCTTTGAGTGTGTTGACCATCTCTAATTCGCCATACTCTGACAGATCTGACCGAATTTTGTCTTCGTTGAGCATCTCTGGATCATCGATATTCCCTAGATACACGTTGCGAGACGCGCCGCGCTGTACAGCGAGTGCCATCGCAGGACTCAATGCTCCTGAAGGTTTTCCCCACCCTACTTTTAAGCGCCGAGTATGGATAGTAATACCTGTCATGGACGCCATATGGAAAAAGGCCAAGGCGGCATTCGCATCCACAAACGTCACAAAGGCGATATGTCTGTCTGGCATATACCGAACATTTTGTAGAATTCCGCCGCGCACATGATTGCAGATATCCTCGGCATTGGTATCGGGATGCAGGTTGCCTAAATACACTGTGCGATTGCCGAACTGATGGTATTGTGGCTCGACAGGGCCGAAAGGATGTGGTTGTTGCATACGTGCATTAATGTCATTCGGCAGGCTAGCATGTGCGGAGATGGGATTATCATGGGGCACATAGTTGGCATTTGCTTGGTTCACATACCCGGTAGGGTACCCTAGCCAAGTTGCGGCTGCTAAGCCTATTGCGGCAGCTTGGTGGTTATGAGCCTGAATCTGCTGTTGGCCTTTGGGAACATAGGCACATCGATCCTTGCCGTAGTTGACTCGTTTTCCGCTCCATTTCGGTTCAGTAGGAAGCACAGCAACAACTTTCATGGCTGTTTGGATCGACAAAAAGTGAACGAAGGCAATGGCTTGATCACGAACAATTTTCACCTGATCGATCGGACCGAAGCGTGCTAAATCATCACGGAGATCCTTTTCGGTAGTATTTTCATCCAGCTGGCCAATATATACATTACGCGATGCTTGCTGCTGTTGCACTGCGAGCATCACAGCAGGAGGAGGAATAGATGGCTTGCCCCAGCCGATTTTCATCTGTTGCCCGTGCAGGGTTATGTGTCGTACACTTGAGTCTGCATGAAAAGCAGCTGCAGTCTGCGCAGTCAAAAACGAGATAAATGCACAGTTCTTTTCTGGAAGCAGCTTCACATTCTCGATCGGCCCGAATTTCACTAGATTCAGAAGCTCGTCCACACTGGCATCCGAGGGCAGACTCCCGATATATACTGTGCGACCAATTGGTACTCCTTGCGGCACAGACATTCGGGGAACAAGGTTATTGTAATCTGATACGCCCTGTGCATAAGGAGAGGAGACAGGCTGCATATACCCCATGGGAATGCCGCCCGTCATTGGCATCATCATCGGCATTGATGGATTCCAGTTGGGCATCATAGGAGAAGCCATAGCATAGGCATTCGGCATTACTGTTGGCACAGCCATCATAGGTGTATGCGGCGGTTGCGATGCATTCCCTTCTTGATTCTGAGGTAAAACGGGTGAACGCGAGGCCTGGTTTGGTTGTGAGTTTTGTGAAGAAGGGCTGTGGTAATTCGGATCATTGGATGAGTCTTCGACCGTTTGGTTTGCCTCGGTACGTGCATCATTTCCTGCCGTCTGCGAAGAAGACCGCCTACTAGAAGGCATCTCTGTCGTCTTCGACACACCGCTTTTCTCTCCACTCATACAGAGTCGCTTCTGATTGCACGACGCCTTGAGCCGTTCGGAGTATCCTCAAGAAACTCTTCACAATATACTACGTCAATTGACTGAACAGACTCTCGTCTTGTCTCTAACGTGTCGCGAACCTGTGCGTTTACAAAGAAGTGTGATGCTTTCGCTGCACAGCTCCTCGGGTGAGCTGCTTTGCCACGTGACCTCCACCGGTGAATCGGCTGACCTCGATCGGCGTACAAGTGGGGAATGAATTCAGGTATGAAGTCTAGCAAAGTTGGATGGTGTAAGCGACAAATATACACAGACTATGCAAGCTATTACTTTTTGATAGTGTCGGCGAGTTTCGTGACTGGGCTCTCGTTCCGGTCGATCCAGTTCTTGACCTTCTCGTAGATGGTAAACACAACAGCTTGACCAGGAGCGACACGAGCGACACGCGGTGTAATGCCTTTCCAGAAGGCACTCACACCTTCCTGTGCGAACATTTCGCGGGAAACTTTCACAACGCGGCTCAATGCGGTCTCACCGGGCTCCTTGGTCGCTTTTTGGATACGGGTCTTGATGGTGTCGATTGGGGCATTGGAAAAGGGACCCAGAGCTCCGGAAATCAGACCAATTGTTGCCGTCTCGTAGGAAGGAAGCTCTTCCAATTTTTGCACACGCTGCGCAAGCGCTTTCAACTCCTGATACGCGGTGAAGTTTGCAGCTTGGTTCGTTGCTTGGCGAGCAGCGGTCAAAGCAACACCTCGATACAGAGTACTGAAACCTTCCTCACGCAAGATAGTGTAAAGAGCGTGACCGGCGTTGCGGTAACGAGGAATCTCGTTCGGGTCAGCGAGCGAGTGTTGTTGTGCTTGGAGACGAATTTTGACAACCTCCATAGGGTTCACTACAAGCACGGCCTCGGTTGTACCAGCACCCAAACCAGCTGCGCATGTTAGCGAGATATTAACATACCAAGGAAGACTCCCTGAGCAGATGTCACACCAGTCTTTCTGTCGGCGAGCCATGCTTTGTATTGCTCAAAGCTCATGAATCGGATAGCCATCTTAGGAACAATGCCGGCGACGACAGCGCCAAGACCTTTGTATAGACCAAGAGGGGATTCACGCTGGATAATACGAGCACCTGTAGCAAAAAATCCACGGGGCTTCTCGCCAGCTACGCGCCCACGACGAGAAAGCTGCATACGAACTTTAATTGTGTCGAGCGCTAGAAGATTAGCATTGTGTAGACTGTAGGTACATACGGTGACAGGTACATGCTTCAGCAAATCCGGCGATACCGCCAGCTACCAGCTGCGTAGCTGCAGACGTTTTGGGCTTGTTGTTTGACGCCATACTCAAAGATAGGATAAAGAAGAAAGCGAATCCGGGGGAAGATGCCGGTTCAATATGTAGCTGCCGCTCACTTCCGGTGGAGCTGACTCTGCCCTTTGCAGCTTCCGTGCGGGGCTTCCGGACAAAATTGACTACCTTCTTGGCTCGGCTAAATGAGCGAATAAGGCGTGTAGACATGCACTGGCTTACATCATCTTACCGGCATGAGCTCCGGCTGCAACCGGCGGCCTCGCCCGATCGCCTCGCTTGGATCTGGATCGGGATCAATTGATGCGCGCAAAGGCTTGCACCGGAGTAGGTCCAAGAAAAAGCAAAGTTGAACTGCTATGTAGAAACTGTAGCGATGTGAATTATGGGAATGGGGTTTTACGGATGCAAAGCTGCTTCGTCTGCATCATTCAACAGCTCGTTGAGCGCCTTGAGGCCTTTTGCCACGCCGTAACTTGCGCTTGCCATTACACTCTTAGTGGTGCGGTCAAAGCTTGAGTCGGATTGCATATCGCTCAACCGGTTGCAATTGTCAGTGAGCTCCGTGAAGATTCGCTCAGCTTCAGCAGCAATTGGCGCTTGGCGAGGGGATGTCGACGGCGGCAAGTGGTCCCTTGAGATCGCTACAATGGAGAAGACAATTGTGGTGATCTGCGTCAAGTTCTCATTGAGCTGTGGGCCTTGGACACCTTCACGAAGTGCAGACAATAACGACTGAATCGAGTGCACAATCGCTTCGGTTTGCACTTCAATGTAGTTGCGTAGCTCGGCCCAGTTCTCATTCGCATCCACTGGATCATTTGCAAGCCGGTCGGACGGTTTCGTGTGCTCACTGCTTGTGGATCGGGATGTGATCGGCGCAGAGTTCTCGGCGTTGAGCGAGCTCATTGAGAACGCCGAACCACTAGACGGCGGCACACTATCGTTGGTTGTCGGCAGACTGGGTAACTTCCGCTCAGATCCTGTTGCAGAGCCGTTGCGCGGCTCGTTACTGGGCCATGCATTCGACATATTGGACGTATTCATTGAGGGAGACTGCATCGAAGAATGCTGCTGTGGCTCAGGCTGAGTCGAAGATGGGATCTGTTCAATGAAACCTTCGCCCTGGTCGCGATCCAAAGGCTCTTCCTCACCTACGCGATCGGAAAAGTTCGGGTACGTAGGCTCAGGGTTGCTTTCTTCGGGGATCGGCATTTCAGCCAAGTTTCGTGGCTCGTTCAAAGAGGCATTCAATCCTTGCTGATCGATCATAGTAGGCTGAGATGCACCGTAGGGATACGTCTCGTTACTCGAGCTGAAATCAGATGAGCTAGGAACTTGACTCGGTGCAGTGCGTGTGTCCAGCTGGTTCTCACTAGGCGTTGGAGGCACAGGTCGTTCACGCGTTGGTTGTGTGCTGATAGTATCGTTGGACGGGGGTAATACAGCTGCCTCTCGATACACCAGATTGCCTCCTTCATGTCCAGTAGCATTACTTGAAGGGTCGCTTTGAGTCGGTAAAGCCGTTTGCTGCGATTGTAGCTGCTGCGGCTGCGACATTGGCGATTGTAGCGAACGGTCATGCACTTGTGGCGAACTGGGAGCTGGAGGGCCGTGCAAAGCAGCCGTTCCAGCGCCGAGTCCTGCCATTCCTGCACTGGCAACGCCTGCACTACCAAAGTTTGTATTGGAACCAGCAGAGGAAGAATACTCGTTGCCATAAGATGCCATGTTTGGCGAGACTTCCGACTGCTGAT